CATTATTTACACTCATGCTCATAGGAGTCAATACTCTGGTCCATTTACCAAGATGTCGGTGAAAGATATCAATGATTTTTTTTTTGTCGCCAAATTCCCTGCTTAGGTCTTTCTTACGCTCAACTTCATGGTCTGGAAACCCACCTCACCCCAACACCCCTTCCCCCCCCTTTCCCCCCCTTCCCTCCCTCCCTACCCGATTTTCACATATTTTGCCTCGCCACTCTTCTGTGCGTACCGCCCCTTTCTCCGGTTCACCCCCTCTGTTGTACTCTCCTCCCCACAACCATCCTCCTTCTGCCTGTCCCGTCTTCTGCAGCCAAGGCCAATTCTTCGTGTGACATGAACGGTTTTGTCTCCACTGAATGTTGAGTGTTGCTTCCATATGACAATTGCGGTGTCGAGTGCATCAGCCCCCGCGTGAGCGAGGGCCCTCCCGGCTATGTCACGCAGGAGTTAAAACACAACAGAATCAAGAGACAACTTAGGACGATGCATAAATAGTCTCGCGAACCGCCGACACGGATGCGGTTGCATTGTCCCTTCGCCGCTCTAGCAGGGTGCGCCAGCTGTACTTCCCACGGTCCCCTACGACAGGATAGGTTCTCGCGGGGCAAATCTTACCTTCCCTTAGGGGCTGTCACCACCCTTAGGGGCGTATCCCTACCGAGCTACTGACCCACGTGCGAAATTTTTTACATGCAATTGCAGAGGTAGGTCAACCGAGGGCGTTTGCTCGGTCACTGGAGTATAGGTACGTTTGGCCAACGCCAAGTGGACCCGAACGTTGTCCGTCCCCTAGGGCGCTGAACTCCTCGGTACTAACGAATGCCGGTCGACTAAGACGGTCTCAACCAAACGTGTAACCCACAATATGATCCTAGTCCCTCTATAATTCTCTGATCCCAAGATAAATAAATAAAATCAATACACTTTTACATCCAATCACACAAGATTGGATTTTGACTTAATGAGATGATCTGCCAAAGTTATTCTTTCCGGCCTATATGACAAAAAAATATTTTATTACACCGCTTCCGGGCAAATCAATAAGGGATCTGGTTCCTGATCGAAGTTTGAACTATCGGTTCGACCACACCTCCGTACCATAAGCAACTTGCTTGGAGGAAAGTATTATGTAGCGAATAAAAATTTTATTGGTCGCTTTGTCCTCCTGGGCAATAATTACTCTTTCTGTTCCACAAATGACGAAGTACCCATCCATGTCACTTGGTCATTCAACATAAAACCGCAGTCGATATCGCCGCACAAGAGAACCATCACCTTCATTACCTACTTCTCATTGTGGGCTGGAACTTCTTCTGTCTCCGACACGCACCTATCCCTCTAAGAAGTGGTCTTGTGGATACTCCTTCCCCTCGCCCGAGCCCAAAGACTCCGATCTCAGAGGTTGGGCCGTCACCACCGAGTCGGCAGAGTACCACCCCCGACGAGTCGGGTCCACTCCAAGTCGATAACAGGGCCGGCTCCGAAAGCATACGAACCCCCGCCTTGGATGCTTCATAGAGAGAAAGATTGTGTTCGCCAAGAGTAGGTTTCTTTTATTCTCATTATTGATAAATTTTGGGTAACTTATATGAAAAAGAAACAGAAGAAGATAGACAACGAAATCATTTGGATAGGTATGGGTAGATAAGATTGTTCGGGGCAGAAAGTCCATCATGGAGACAAAATCCGTTTGACCTTATCTGCGTTATTCCAATTGAATTCATTCTACGACACAGGCTGAATAATATTTTTCAAAACAACGAGTTCTTTTGACGAGCAGACAAGTGGAAGGTAAAAGGAGGGATAATCCTTTTCTTTATCTCAACCAGGCATAATCATCCTTTTTGCAAGCACCCTTCTTCCTACCTGCACATCAAATGAGACAACGAGTTCAAAGGAAAACAAGGCAAACCCGAACTCACGTCAGACTCCCGTTCACACACGCAAACACACATTTCCTTTACCTTTTTAGTGAACATTCAAGAACAGGGTCAAGCAAAGTGTGGGTCCACACAAGTGTGAAGGCGTCTGAGTCAAACTGACCTCGAGTGAAGTTGAAACGGCTCACTCAAGGAAGCTTTTCCGTGCTCTGATTAGAAGAAAACAACGGTCGTCGAAGTCCAAAGTGCGTGGCTCACAATTCTCTTAGTTGTGGCCGCTCCACTGCGCCATAATCCCCATCCCGCCTTCAGCTCTCCAATGCAGCCTCAGTCGCTCCTTGACCACCAAGGATACCGCCAAACCAACTCAACAATCCACACCAGCTCAAACAACTTGAACTGCGTTCGCACCCCAAGTTGGTCCCACTTGGTCCCACATTGATCCCCAGCGGCCCCGGTCGATCCCATCTCATTGCCCGCAATCCCCAATGGTCCAGAACTCAAAACCACTTGCATTGCGCGCCGCACAAAAAAAATAAAAAAAAATAAAGGTGACCGCGGTGAAAGACGCATGCCACGAGCCCCAATAGTCACTGCCGTGTATTCACTCTGTGCCATCTTCACGTCGTCGGACCAGGCACCGCTACCGCACAGTCCCAACCACACACCAGCGTTGCCCAACCTCTAGGCCACAGTGAGATCCACCATACCCGCCTCGCATCACAAAAAAATACGGCGCGCCACTGCTTGTTGCGCCGCCAAAATCGGTACCATGGCTTCCCCGCAGCACCACCGCCTGATCACACACAAAACTGCCTCCACTGTGACACAAAAGACCAGCATTTTCCCTCACAATAGTGTTGCCGACGTACCGCCAACATAACCCCCCCAAAAAAGATAACGTCAATACCATCGCCAACCTCGACAGCATGATCCCACCGAAAAAATATTGCTGCCATTGTGCCAAAGAAATGGCAGCACTTCCCCACCAAAAACGGTTGCCGTCGAGCCAAGATTTCAACAGCATGGTCCCACAGGATGCACCGCCGTACCCGTGCCTCCAAGAAAATTTGACAGCGCTTCCGCGCCGCCGTCAACAATGTTGCTGCCACCGAACAATTTCGGCCGCGCTTCCGCATCACCACCAAAAAAGCACTTCCGTTGCCTCACCAAGCGGACAACACACCCCAGTCACTCTAAAAATGGCTGTCGACGCTGCGCAAAGAGGGCAGAGTCTCCCCTGCACCTCTTGCCGATGATTACCGCCACCCTGCAAAACGGGCAGAGTCTCCCCTGCACCACTTGCCGAGGACTTGCTGCGAACAACAGCACCTCCCATTGGCACCACGCAGCCCGATGGCTATGGCAGCCTCTCCTTCCCCTCTCATTGCAGACCTCCACTCTCCACTCCAGCACCTCCACCAGCAGCACCACCCCTCTTCAGCAACATGCAGCAGCCAGCCAGCATTCACTCAAGTGAATGCCCCAGCAGCACTGCCATAAGTGTGATGCTGCTAGGTGGAGTGCCGACTTTTATAGCCAGCAAATGGCTGTGGGCAGCTGCTTTGCCCACAACCAAGCAAAATTCGTCAGGGCTCCTAGCCCTTGATCTGAATCAATGGCCAGGAGCTCTGTGCCTTGGTTTCCCCCTAGGGGAACCAGGGTCATCAGTTCTCTGGAGCACCTGGCCGTTTCCCTAGGCCAGGTGCTCTTGGAAATGGTTGTACTCAGCCATTCCAGGACTGCCTGTTCAACTGAACAGACACTGTCCCATCAGCCCCTATAAGCTTCTAGGGGCTGCACCTGTTCCGCGGCCGCGGCCACGTTCACGGTCGTTTTCCCTTCACTCCTTTTCCTCCCCTCTACTTCTTTGTTCTACCTCTGTACCTACTATATCCCCGCGGCCACGTGCACGGCCGCCACTCACTTTTTTTCTTCTTCTGTGTTTCTTTTTTTTCTTTCTACTCCCGCCGTTTTCCTGCAGGGGCAGCTCGCCAATCGAAACGAACGGCCGCCCTTCCTTTCTACTACTGAAGTCAAGCTCAACAAAAACGGGGGGGGTCCCTGTCCAACTTGCGCCGCACCCGGCTGCCAATGGCACCAGGTGCAGGCGCAAATCTGCAGCCCGTTCAACAATGAACGGGCACAGGTTCGTGTGGTAACAGACTCCCCCTCCTTTTTTTTTTCTCTCTCTCTCTCTCTCTCTCTCTCTCTCTCTCTCTCTCTCTCTCTCTCTCTCTCTCTCTTTCT